TGGCGGACCGTTTGATGTCTGCTGTCCGAAGCTTGGGACCCCTCGACCAGCGACATACACGACGAGCAAGAGCCTCTCTGGCGCCACCTTTAAGTGCAGTGATCTTGACTCGAAATTGGATGTTCACGTGCGCCGTGTCTGCTCGTACCTTTCACCTGTTGTGTGTGTGTGTGATTGGTGTTCCCGGCAAGAAGGAGGAGCCCGACAGGGCTTATAAGGACGCCGCCGAGTGCGGGACGTTGCTCTGAACCAAGAAAAGGTTTAACCACCACGCTCGTGGTTTGTGAACTCTTAACCTCATGCTGTAAATATTTGTAAATAGTGCCATAAACCTTGTTTGTTTTTCGTATCCCCATCTTGTAAGCGCTCGTTTCCTCAATCCGAAGCTACACCACGCTACCACAGCCCCCCGGGATCACAACAACTGGTGATCAGCGGTGGGATACGACTCAGCACCCCGAGTCACGACAACTGGTTGGCATCGGAGGGATTCGAAGCTACAAGTGACAACAACAGTCGGCCCAGGAGAAGCAGCTGGCTCGAGACACGGATCACGTATGGGTGAGTGCTTGGCTTTTCCTTTGAGTGAACCAGGTTCTAAAAGAGGGTTAAATTTTAGAACTGGTAGTTAACTTTGCCGAAAGACTCAGTTTCGCCGTTTCGGAAAGTTATTTTGGAAGTAGCGAGCACTCAGTACGATCATGGACTTACGGGAGCTGCAGAAGTCAGACTTGTTGCTGTTGTGTGAGGAATTGGGGATCGATACAAAGGGTTTGGCACGAAAACCCATAATCATTCAAGCGATTAATGATTTGGGGGCTGATGATGAGGAACTAAGTGAAGAATGGGACCTCATCATCGAAAGAAAACTAAGAGCAGCTCAGATGGAAGGAAAGAGTGAACACGAAAAACTAGGCCTCAAGAGAAAGTTTTTCAATCAAGATTATGAGTTGAGTATGAGGTTGGGACCCCAGCGAGGAGTACTTCTTCTCGACAATGAGGCAGAGTTCGAGATGTCTAGGTACATGCAGCCATATGAGGTATCATGGGATATGGGCCTGTATCTTAGACTCTTTGAACGAAAGTGTAGTCAACTTAAGTGTGAGCGAGACACCTGGTCTCAGAGGCTACGCACGGTTCTGCCCTGCGAGGCAGCGGATGTTGTTGCGCGACTCAGTGAGCAGCACGCGAACAACTACGAAGTTGTGAAAGCAGAGCTAATCAGAAGATTTGGAACTTCTATTAGCAAAAAGAAAGAAAGACTCGCACCGGAGTCTGAAAGCGAGGCGCGTCGCAAAGCGCCGGAAGTTGAGGCGCCTGGTAAAGCGCTTGAAACAGATATCGCGCCAGAGAAAGGCCCGCGTATTCTCGAAGGCATCGATGTAGAGCATGCAGAGAACGAGGCCTTGGCCGGTCTCGAGGTAGGGACGATGTCGAAAGACGCTCCTTGCGTGGATGAGGAGGGTGCCAGCAGCCCTGATGGGCCCAGTAAGAGGCTGGAAACCTTCTTCATGCCTCAAGAGGACCTTTGGACATTGTCAAAAGTAGGCATGGTTAGCGCAGTGGCTGATGAGAGCAAGAACGCCATGCTTCAGCAGTGCAGCCCTATTATCGAGGTGATTTGCGAACATCGCAGAAAAAGGAAGAAGCGGAGGCGTTCGTCACTGCGCAAGCCTAGGTCGGGCCCCACTCCGTCCCAACAAAGAAAGGGTAGGCCACTAATCCGTTTAAGGAAACGTCAATGGTGGCGTTCAGGAAGACCGAAGCGGCGAGCCAGATTTGGAGGGGGAAAAGAAGGTGCGTCACCCCAAGGAAAGGCGCGGTTCAGTTCGACGACTTCGGGAAAGCGGCCTTGCCCGAAGGGTCAAAGTCGAAAGGACAGAGTGGCTAAATACCGCGCAGGGGTGAATACAAAGAGAAAATGGCACAGGCTCCCTCCGAGCTACTGGCGTCACTTTCAAATTCCTGAGGGGAACAGGCCAAAGTGGAAAATGAGGCGTGACGGCAGTGCACTGCTTAGAGTTTGTGCATTTAGTAGCCTCAGGCCTGCTGGAAAACAGCCGGGACAGCGACCCCATCGTGTACGATTAAAGGAACCAAGAGAAAAGGGGGTGGTCAGATTGAGTAACACATGCTTATTTCGTATGGTTACTTAGTTTTACTTTGTAGGTGTAATTTCAGTACTTTTAATTTTGTAAGTAACGTAATGCGGTGTAAATTTTTCAGAAGGGAAACCGCCGAACCGAAGGCTGAAAGTTAACATCGATTTGCTTTAATCATTAGGGCTAATATGTACCGAAGGTAAAAACTGGAAAATTGTTATTTTTCTAGTATTTTCAAAGGCTGAGAGTAATTTCGTATGCCTTCACTGTCATGTGGATTTGTCGTGAATTAGCATTTGGAGAAGAAGTTACCATAGGCCGAATAATTTCATAAATTGATTAAGTTTGGCGCGACACGGTAGAGTTGTCGTTACGCACTAGTAGTATTGAGAACATTCTAGTGCACTGTTTTAGCATAAAACCTAAGCCATTGTTGGGAGGTGCTTTAAGGACTATTGCACCTAGGTTTACTTTTGTGTTGTACACGGTGTGTTACAACGTAACGTTTGAATGAATTTAGACAAACTGTAAACGATTAAGCTTTTGGTTAGTAGTGCCATGAATTTTGCAGCGCCGTAAGAATGAGAATAATTGAAAGCGCTCAAAAGAACTCAGTGTTTTGTTTTTTAATCAAAGGTGTTAGCAAAGGCAGGTAACTAACCGAACTAACCTGCTAGAAGGCAGTGTTTGTTACTTTTGTTGAAGAATGATTGATCTAGTGATCATGAGCAGATCCTCAAGCTTTCCCTAACCGTGAGGTAGACCATTTGGTCACAGCTTAGGTTAAGGTTGCGGGAGGCTGGTGAGTTTAATGTCTCAGTGGTAGACAATTATGGGCGGACGTAAACAAAGACTGACGTTGGAACAATCTTAGCGCTCGCTGAATTCGAGTTCCGGACCGATGCTCTCAGCGGGACAGAGCCGTGTAAGTAGTCAGCGACAAAAAGAAGGAGGCTGCCGTTATATGTCTCGACGACAGTGGCGACGAGTATGATGCGTTCTACTTGAGCCAGAATTTGGGCTCTCGTGAGATAACGTACTGCGCTTCAGGAAAGGAGTGCGCCTGCATTGTGTAGAGCATTCATCAGTGGCAGTGTTATCTCAGGGGAGGGCTAAATTTAAAGTAGATACAGGCCATTGTCTCTTGGCTGCAAACCATGACATCGAAGAACCGTCGCCTTGTGAGGCGGAGCTTGATTCTTCAAAAATATCATTTTGACATTAGGTAAATAAAGGGCAAATTGAATGGAAACGCTGACGCGCTCAGCCGCTCTTTCTAAGCCATTCTGGGGTGCTCTTTCTGTATCAAAATTGATATTTTAGTTTTTTTTCGTGCATCTTATGTAAATTTGTAAGGTAGCACGTCCGGTTTTTCAGCTCAAGTGAGTCCTGAGAGTTTTGAGTGTGAGCTTTTGTTAAAGCTAGGAAATGAAAATTGGTTTCCATCCCTCTTTTGGCTTGGTTTGATCGAAGGGGGCCGAGTGCTTGCTTGTACAGGTGGTCGAGTATCAGAGATGCTGTCGAAGATTCGGCAATCACCCGGACCATGCCACAAGCGAAGGCCAGTTCCTGGCATTCAACTACTGACCTTTTCGTCGTCCCTGCGAGCAGCAGTGTTGACCGCTGCCCTCCGTGACTCATCTGGCGAGGGGGAAGCTGTTATGACCGCCATCGATAGGCGCCATGCTGTCGCTGAGAGCGTAGCCGGGCAGCGTTCCCACACCTGGAACCGCAGTTTTCTTGGAAACAGCGTCGAGAGCTGACGGGGGAGCGGCGCTCTTTTAATCGTCAAACAAGTCGCCGACTCGCCGAATGCCTATGCCCGCCAGGTATTGTCCCGGCTAGCCGGCGGATGAGACGTCAGGTCGCCACGAAGCTGTAAGCCGTTCCAGAGGGGACAACAAAGACAGCGTATTCCTTTGAAGAAAAGGCGACCGCCGCCTCAAAGTGCCCTGCTAATTGAGCGGACAGATTGGCGGACCGTTGATGTCTGCTGTCCGAAGCTTGGGACCCCTCGACCAGCGACATACACGACGAGCAAGAGCCTCTCTGGCGCCACCTTTAAGTGCAGTGATCTTGACTCGAAATTGGATGTTCACGTGCGCCGTGTCTGCTCGTACCTTTCACCTGTTGTGTGTGTGTGTGATTGGTGTTCCCGGCAAGAAGGAGGAGCCCGACAGGGCTTATAAGGACGCCGCCGAGTGCGGGACGTTGCTCTGAACCAAGAAAAGGTTTAACCACCACGCTCGTGGTTTGTGAACTCTTAACCTCATGCTGTAAATATTTGTAAATAGTGCCATAAACCTTGTTTGTTTTTCGTATCCCCATCTTGTAAGCGCTCGTTTCCTCAATCCGAAGCTACACCACGCTACCACAGCCCCCCGGGATCACAACAACTGGTGATCAGCGGTGGGATACGACTCAGCACCCCGAGTCACGACAGGAGCAACAAATGCTGATGTAACGTGCAAAAGTGAACACCGTATAAGAGTTCTTTAGGGGTAACTGAGCTGCTAATGTCTGGTTTTCTGAACTGTAAATGCATGAAGGCTAACTGTTGAAGAGCCCCTAAGCGCCTCTGATATATATATTGCATTTCAGTGAAACACGTACATGGAGTTTAGAATGCCATCACGATGAACAATGTCAAACGCGGCAGCGCCGCAAATACTCGTCAACATAATTGAATAAAACAATTCCGTGGTACTCTTCGAGCCTTTCGGTATATCGACAGCATTGATAGTGACGTCACCAAGACCGAAATACTTGAAGTTCTCGACACGACAATAAAGCTAAATAAGCAGTTGGATGGTCTACACGCTTGAGTTATATATGCAAGTCAGCCGACAAATGACCCACATTCTTCGCTAATGGAGCTCATCATGGTTCACCACGCAGGCAAGGTTCGCTTCACGGACGAAGCAGAGTGCATCCAGCGGGAGGCGCAGAGGCTGCGGCGCGATGAAGGCGTGCAGGTGATCATCGCCGTGGGTCACTCGGGTGTGCCACGAGACGTGGAGATTTGTGAGCGCGTGCCCGAGGTCAGTCTAGTCGTCGGTGGCCACACCCACACATTCCTGTACTCGGGACCTACAGAAAATGGTAAGCCCATTTTACAACGAAAGCTGTTACGAGATCACAACTTGGCTATCACGCAGCGGCGTAGTTGTCTGCCGCCACCACCGCCACCGGTGTTCGTAACCACATCATACGAAATCAGCAAAAAACAGCCCAGTAACACAGGGTGTTCGAACATGGGTCCGCTGCATGTCTGCCCAGTATTTTATCACTGAGCCACGCCGGTGCTTGGGACTTGTTGGTAAACTTGCCTAGGCAGGCTTGATGTCGGCAAAACAATCGCGTTAATAGGACTTATAAAGCCTTTTGATACAAAGAAAGAACAAGCAGCCATCGCACAATGCAAATAGCGTAACGAGTTAGCTGTCCAATGCCCCAACTCATTACAGAAGCTTGTTTTTCTTCCCCAATGAACTGTGGCGCTTACCCACTTCAGCCATAATTCTTCATTGTCTTCAGCCGCTGCATAATCAATCGGCACAAAATTGCTTGCAAGTGTTTAGCGGATACCACGCTTCTCAGAAGAATGACGAGAAATAGCATAGCGAATGCCGGCCTACTACTCAGAAATTTATTATTGATGACCTAGTGGGTATCGAGCAAGTGTGCTTGCAGCAGTTACCAAATGAGTGTTCTGAAAGGGCTCTCAAAGGCCGCTTTTCTAGCTTTCGCTATGACTGTGCAGCGCCTTCCGCGCAGGCCTGGCGTTTTTTTTTTTTTATACGAAAGCACACACCAGTCACTTGAGAAGCACGCTTTCGTGCAGTTAACTGTTGCTGGGGGGGACGAGGGCAAGCTTAACCCGACCAGACGTTTCGAATTAGGAAGAAAATGTCCCGGTTTGGCGGCTGTGGTTCTGCTATCCCACCAAGCAGCTGTCGGGACGCTGTTTTCTTTTTTTATAGATGCGAAGCAGCTCTTTCTCTAGCCTGTGTAATGGTGTCCCTCTGTAAACTTCCACTGCGCATGATCGCGTCTCGTGCCGGCTCAGGAAGACACCCGCGAAACTGTCGGTCGCTCCCCTTCCCCTCTCTCGCCTCGTTAGGCATATGCAGGCAGCGTCGGCTAGTAAGAAACTGACTGCTCGCTGGCCACCCCGTATATGTAGGCACTGGATCGCGCATACGGAATTCAGTCAAAGGCGTCGTATCTTGGCTTTCGCTTGATGAGCGCCAGCGTCAAAGTCACCACCAGTCTAATAGTTAGCACCCGCTGCTTATCTGCACATGGTTTGCTTTAGTGGGAGATGGTCCAAGTTTTTGTCCCGCTTTCGGCAGAAAGCCAGCTCGTAGTTGTGGTCAGCTATCTGGCAACCACTTCTCTTTGATATACTATATTACTATACATAGTTATGATCTGCCTTTTTGTCCTTGTTCACCTTTTATTGTGGCTCACACCCACTATCGGAGATTGGCCAAAAATTGAGTGGTCTTATAAAATATCATTCAGCATTAGAGTAATAGAGAATACAAAATGAAAAGGTTACAAATTCGGGAACAAAATTTTGATACTCACTCAAATGTACCAACTAAAAGCTTTGTATTAGTAATAGCTGATAAGGTAAATAAAAATGCACACTTTGAAAGAACTTAAAATTAAGCTAGAAATTAGAAAATAATTAAAGTTAGAAAGAACTTAAAATTAAAAATAAAAGCATATGTCAACACAAAAGGATAATAATATTGATTAGTTTGTTAGTCTTTCAGTTTTTGCCAGATAATTCCACACATCCACTCAAACTTTCGCACTGGCAAACCCAGAAATGGGGGCTCCAAACGATATAATCACGGACATAGATGAATTTGTTACTATAGCACGTACAGGACTTTTCTAACTTGGACCTACGAGTCGCAGTAGGTTTTTTATGGTTCAAAAAGAAATTATCTATAGTGTATAGCTCGCGCCAAAAAGTGCATGTAGGAAAAAGAGCCTGACCAGACCAGTGCTGGTAGAAATTTATTTTCAGCACCCGACGGCGCAGCCTGGAAATTGTGACTTTCAGTTTACGTGTTTCACAAAACGATTGGCGCCATGGATATAATAAGCTCTGGTATTGTGTGGAATTTGTGAGAAATGTACCTGCAAAGCTCTCCATAATGTTATGCCTGCGAAACTGTGCAGCCGTTACATAAGTGGGTGGTAGAAAACGCGGCAAAATATGCTCGATTAATTATCACTTCTCTAAACAATCAGTCAGTTTTTTTATGAGCAGCCCTTTATGACTAGGAACTCAAACTAATGTAAATCTTCTCAAATGTGCAAGGATTAATGCACAAAACGCCTTTATTATGTGCGGGACAGCACCAACAGAAAGTGTAGCGCAGAGAGACAGAGAAGCTGTAATTATAACGGCCGATGTCATTTCCGTGCTTAAGTTTCGTAAGGAAAGTACCACTCTCACGAACTCAGTCAGAAAAACAGGTAATGCTCACAAAATTCGTCCGCCACGGTCGTTTCCGGTGCATTCTTCACTAAAGCTAAGGCCCTAAATGGTTGTTCATGTTTTACTGTCCCACTTAGTCAGAGTAGAACACTCCATAATTTTGACTTGGGTGTAAGTGGCCTTAGCGAAGTGCAGCATTTCCGCAAGCACTTTGTGCCTAGTCCAGTTGTCGGCTCATGCAGTTATGTGTTTTTTGACAGTCGCGGTAATTTTCAAGTAGACCCGTGCGTATGTATTTTCTTTCAGCTCTGCGGCAAATAGCCCTAAGTCTGATATTCAGCGTCCACTCTAGCGTGAACCTTCGGGAATTTTTACAAACTTGGAAAACTGGTTTAATTTGTTTTCTATGAGTGCTACTAAGCTTTCAGGGTCAGTAACAGTATCAGCTTGGTGTGACATATGACAACGAAACAATTGCCAGCTAGTTATTTCTGCTGAGTGCCTATATTTAGAAACGCGTAGTGTGGATGCTGTATCAGGATATAGGCATATTATCACTGCCCTATGTTGCAATGCCTGTTCGCCATGCAGCCTCAGATGCAATATCATGTGAGCAAAGCATGAGGGCTGGGCAACTTGAGTGAGTGAAACCCCGCAGGAACGTCGCAACAAGCCCATGAACTATCCTGAATTGCTTTTTGTAGGTCCTTTCCACGGCTATCGCAGTAGGGACTTTCCCACATGAAGTTGTGTGCATTGAAATATCCGCAGTATATTACAGCTTTTGTGTATGTCTGAAAAAGTGCTTTCAACGCAGAAAGCGAGAGTATTATGGAAGGCTGGAAATAAACGCTGACTATTGTAATATTTACTCGACGAAATCTAAATTCACATGCTACATAATCTGAATAATCCAATCATATAGCATATAACTGTACTGATGGCAGATCTGTTCTTACACATGTCGTCGCTCTAATTGGTCCTGTAGATCTAGAGGACATATACTCAACATAGTTTGCTAACGGAAAATCATTATCTACCCCGAACTCTGTAATACACAACACTGCAAAGGAGCTGTGAGCCACAAATGTTCTGAAGACTGCACACTTAGGGCGAACACTATTTGCATTTCACTGGTAGATCGCGACATTTTGATACCTATTATTCAGGTCTTGCCTGCGCAGTGACTGTTGTGGCTAATTGTAACGCTGCCTGTTCCATCGAAAATACGGCTTTGACCTCAGGCAGGTTGTTAGCTTGTCGGATCGCAGCAAGTACGGCTTTTAAAGCCGAGAATAACGTTGGTACTACAAGATGAGATATCGACACAGCGCAGTTTTCTGGTTGCGTTACACTTACTGAACGCGATGTACCCTTGCTTTGTTGGTTGCTAACCACGTGGTTACTTTTCTCTTGATGTTCCTCTTGAGACTCTTGTCGAGCTTGCTGCGGGCTTGTTTATGTCCACACATTTTCCTTTTGCTTTCGTTGTCCTCTTGCAGCTTGCGCGTGCGTCATTACAGCGTCCTGGCGTTTAGGTGCTTGCGGTCGAGAAGGCCGTCCATGGTTCATGGTGTTCATGTTTGGCTCAGTCACGTCATGCTGTTGCGGGCGACCATAGATGATGTCATGTTGATATTCAAGAGAAGCCGCCTTGTTCTACGGGCATCCAGAAAACGAAGCAGCGTGGGGCCTCTTGCAATTGGCACACGTAGGTTCTGTTATCGTCGATTTGCAGTCCTTGTGATGATGATCTTCGGCGCATATTTTGCAGCACCTTCTTCCTCAAAATTTTGGCCGAATGTCTAAGCCACTGAAAATTATAGCAGCGTTTTGCTGGGCCCAGATATTCCCTAACTGAACGGCTGGCAAACCCAAGAAATACTTTTTCTGGAAGGGGTCTGTCATATCTGATTTGTAAAATCACACTTATCAGTAGATGCGATGCTACAGTTCCATCTTCTTGTCACATGTAACGGGCCTGGCATGCACCTGATTTCACTCCTGTCTCTCTTAAATATTCTGTATGTTGTTTGTCTGTGCACTCTGGAGGCACATGTCTGATTTTTTTCTGCATTTCGTATGTATGACTCCGCATTGAATGACTTCACCAGCCAGCCACCTGCGCACACGACAACAAGCTTTTGGCTGAAGCAAGAGTGCTCACAGCGATTGAGAAACTTCCATCTTTGTTCACTCGGAAAGAACGCACTTTTTTTCTAGCGCAACAATTTCCGCAGCTACAACAATTGCGTTTACTTTGCAAAATGTTCTTGTTTCCTCTATTAGTCGAATACCGCAGGAATTCCCTCAAATCTTCTATTTTTATATGTCACTTGAGTAAAAGTATCTGCTTTATCATCAGATTTAATATCTTCATCAATAAAGGAGTAGGTCGATGTCCCCTCATGCATGTTGTCCGCCTAGTCTTCCACACCTTTTTCGTAGAGCTTGCTTCGTTCGGCATGCCCTCAGCTGTCCTCATCGCCTCCGAAACGAGTGCTGGTGCCCTGATGTAAGGAACTCTGGCAGAACCAAGTTGACCCACTCGCTCAGTCGGTTCCGAAGCCCCGCTGTAGTAAAGGTGGCCCTTCCCCCGCTTTCACATCCTGGCTGGTTCCCTCCGTTACGGTGATGGTAA